CTCCACATCAATGCCTCTCTTCCTATCTTGGCAGATGACACTGTACCCTACCTACCCAGATATCTCAACTTCCTGACACCAAACAGACTTTTCTGCTCCCGTCATTCCTTTCCAAGAATAGCATGCCTCTTCTAACCAAAGATCCATTGCTTCTGTTGACCCCCTCCTCAGGACAGTATCCGGGACTGCTAGAACTTTTTCAGTTCAGAATGCATGGAGAGAAAAGGCATTTCACAGTGGGACAAGGGCACTAGCCCTTTTTAATTTGCATGATGGTGCATCATCAAAGGGGGTAATAGTGCTGGAGTCTGAGCTCCGACTGCACCACCCCTCAGCAGATTCTTCAGAGTATTAAAAACAAACAAAAGCCAGTTTAAGAATGTCCTTGATGGAACAGCAACAAAAAGATTACTTTTACTCAATCACTAACTGTGACAAAATGGGAAAAACACATTTGGTTTGAGCAACCAGCTGAAGTAGCTCTTCTTTCCCAGGAAGGCTATTTTTACTTGAAAGAAATGACAAACCTTGGGCTACGCACACTTGGGTATCTGTTATGTCAACCTGCGTGGCTATAAAGTGAATAAATAACTGAAAAGTTTCAGTTTTAACTTCAAATACGATAAATTCCTAGTGATAAAACCCATATAAACAAAATTTCTCTGAGTTCTGGCACAATTTTTAGTGGAGTGGTGCCGACAACCGCCCCCTGGTCTTCAGGAATCCAGCGTGGTGGTGTCTCCTCAGAGGCTCTGCCAAAGCCAAGAACAAGCCGCGGTCCCGCGTGCCCCACGGCAGAGCTCCCGGCCACCTCGCACATGCCCACCTCTGCACTGAAACCACCTTGGGGCCACCACTACCCTCAGGACCCACAAACCCGAAGGACAAGTCAGGCCCCGTGATGCGGCCCCCAGGGCTCCCGTGGGTCTCCAGCCTCTCCCAGCAGAGCCCGGGTCCCTAAGGTCTTCTCACAGGCGGCTTAGTCCGCCCCATAGTTTCCCACTCGGCCAACTTGCGCCAGGGCTCCCCGCCCAGCCCTGGGGCCCTACCATGGTAAGCTCTCTCGCTGCCGCTACCAACGCAGGCCCGCAGCTACTTGACTTCAACCGCCAGGGCCTTCCGCGCGCGCCCAACCGCTGCAGCCACCGCACCCGAGCGCAGCAGGGAATTGGTAAGCCAGTGCCCAGCTGGCCATTGGTCCCCAGAGCCTAGGGGTGGGCTCAGTCCTGAAAACCCAGTTTTGATTGGTTCTTGCTTAACGGGTGCACTATGACGCTTTCTGGTTGGATGCGAGTTTTGGCGGGAAGGCTGCACAGTCATTGAGGGAGGAGTGGAGCCCGGCGCTCCAGGAAGTTTTTGGACTTTTAAGTGGGAACTTCCACTGCCACCCCTGAGTGGAACACAGGACATATCCAACTGTGCGAACCCCTAGCCTGACCTTTCGTAATTTACGACGACCGCATGCTGCTAACCTTTTTGCCTACCCGCTCCGTTTTCAGTTTGTTTCGAGCATGACTACCTGCCAAAGGGCCGGTCCACCATCTTTCCCAAAATCGTCTCCTGCTTTCTTTTCCACGTTTTCCCCAGTGCAGAAAGGCTCTTCCCGTCCAGCATCCAGTGACCCGGCAATACTCACCTACTTTTAAAGGAGAAAGGAGCTTCTGGGGATAAAGGAGATGGAAGGTACAACCCTGTCCCCGTCCCTGCCTGGTTTGGGGTACTATTTTGGAGGACTTTGGACCAATCACTTGGATGTTCCATTTCATAAAGATCAATTTGACTTTCTTTAGGATCCAATATGCATGGCCCTAAGAAAGTCAGGGACAAAAAAAAGTGGGGGGCGGGGGGAAGAAGTCATGGGTACTGCTAGTTCATCACAAAAAAAGTGGCACCTCTTCTGGCAACTCCTTAGAGGGTGTTGAGCAGATCCTTCTTGGAAGAGAGTGGGAACTTGAACCCTGTAATGGGACAAATCACACAGAGGAGTTGTAATTTATTTATAGACTTTGGGAAGCCTCAGAAAGGTCTGATCTACAATCAGATCTGCGTATAGAAAGATGCCCTTAAAAAAATAAAAGAAGAAATTAAAAAAAAAAAAAAGAAAGAAAGAAAGAAAGAACGATGCCCTTTGCAGCAGGGAGGAGGAAGGACAACAGAGATAGGGAAACAAGAAGAAACCCTCTTTGCCTCTTCTCCCCGGGAGGATGAAGCCTGTTTCCCTACTCAGCTGTTTGCTATAATCAAATAGTACAGACTGGGTGACTTAACAGTTTTATTTTCTCACAGTTCTAAAGAAGCTAGAAGTCCCAATGTAACTGAAAGAACTAAGTTTGAGCCACCTCTCACCACCAAATGACAATAAAGTAGAGATAGGAATTGAATCTTTAAAGTTGTGCTTTAATCAGAGAGCCTACAATCAGGAAGACCGATGGTTAACATCCTAAAGAAACCACCTTAACATTTCACTTCCAGCTGCCTTTTTTTTTTTTTAATATTTATTTATTATGTCATGTCAATGTGCATGGTTATAAAGTGAATAAATAACTGCAAAGTTTCCATTTTAACTTCCTAGTGATAAAACCTACATAAACAAAACTTCTCTGAGCTCTGGCACAACTTTTAGTGGAGTAGTGCCGACAACCGCCCCCTGGTCTTCAGGAATCCAGCGTGGCGGTATCTCCTCAGAGGCTCTGCCAAGGCAAAGAACAAGCAGCAGTTCCACTGTGCCCCCGCGGCAGAGCTCCCGGCCACCCTGCACATGCCCACAGAACAGGGGTACAGGCCAGATATCTCAACTTCTTGCCACCAAACAGACTTTTCTGCTCCCGTCATTCCTTTCCAAGAATGGCAGGCCTCTTCTAACCAAAGACCCATTGCTTCTGTTGACCCCCTTCCCAGGACAGTATCCTGAGCTGCTAGAGCTTTTCAGAATGCATGGGGAGAAAAGGCATTTCACAGTGGGACAAGGGCACTAACCCTTTTCAGTTTGCATGATGGTACATCATCAAAGGGGTTAATAATGCTGGAGTCACTGGGGTACAGGCCAAAGGTGTGGGGGCAGTAAGAGGATTCACCAGATTCAGAGCAGGGAGCAGAACAGGCCGACTGAGGAAGTACACTGTTGAGGGAAACAGCGGACAGGGCAGTAGAGGTCTGCCGCACTATGTGGATCACCTCTGGGGCAGGGGATAGACCTCATGTTGAAGTGGCTTTAGCTTCTTAGTGCTGTGCTTTAACCCGCTGCACCAGAGAACCCCCAGCTGCCTTTTTATAGTGAGTTGAACAAAAAGAGTTCAGCAGTAAGCAGGCTTTCACTGCTGCAGGAGATTGTGATGTCCAGCTCCAGAGCTCCTTAAACTGCCCTCCTGGACACCTTGCTTCAGGCTTGCCCCACTGTGCTGAGGCTGGTCTTCAGATAGCACTGGCACCACACTCCTCCAGGCATGTCCTTGGGCTGGAAAATTGACTCAGAGCAGACAGGCCATAAGCAATATTTGTGTGCAGATGTCCTACTGTACCATGCTTATTGTCTCACCCAATCTCCTACCTCTTCCTAGACCCCATCACCAGCTTAAGGTCTGTGAAATCTCTCTTCCTGGCTTCCAGAGATTTCTTCTTTGTATCTTCATGTGGAGTGTGAGTGGAAAGAACAAGTTGTCTGGTGCCTCTTCTCATAAAGCGACTAGTCCTACCCTATCCTCGCTCACCTGTATGACCTCATTTAACGTTACATGTTCCCTATCTACTGGAAGTTACGATTTCAACACATGAATTTGGGGGCTAGCGCAATTCGGTCTATAAAACCTTCCTTCCTCGGGGCTTTAACAATGCCTTGCACTTACTGTAATCTGTACCATGTTGTGGCTTTAAGTTCTAGTGAGTTGAGTCAGGAAGAGTCCCAGGTCATGGATAGGAAAGGACTCAAGGGGCAGATTTTTCTGACATACAAGTGTTTAAAAACCTGATGGCTCTCGGCCTGGACACTTGCTGCCATAAATTCTCTTGGCTTATTGTGGTTTTTTAAAAAAAAGATTTATTTATTTATGCTTATAGAACTGGGGTACAGGCCAGAGGTGTGGTGGGTGAGAGGATTCACCAGAGACAGTGGGGAGCATATTGACAAAGTGCATTGCTGAGGGGAGCAGTAGACAGGTCAGAAGAGGTCTGCTACGCCATGTGGTTCAGCTCTGGGGCCAAGGATCGAAGTTGTGCTGCAGTGACTTCGGAGAGCTTCATAATGCGGTGATTTAATCCATTGTGCCACCAGGAAGAGCCTGTTTTTTGTTTTTTAAACCATTTCTAAGTGGTCTTTCCATAACTTATCAAGTTTGCTGCTATTAGAAGAAGCAGGAGTTACAGATTCAGGGGATCACAGATCTTGAGACCAGATCAGTTCAGACTGGAGCTGTGGGCACATAACCTCTATGAAATGTTCGCCTTGGAGATGGTCACAACCCTGCAGACCTCTGAGCTGCAGCTGATTGGTGCTCCCAACTGGACTTTTGCCAAGTCCGCTCTCTTTGCTGTCTCAGCCAATAAAGTTGAATTCCTTGTTCTCATACTTTTATCAGGCAGAGTGAGAGGTGGCCCTGATCTCCAAAGCTGCCTGCTCTAAATAGGTTCTTCCATCTGCTGCATCAAGACAAATTATACTCTAGTGTGTATGATCTTCAATGAAAATAACATAACTTTTAATACAATTAGTGTGCAATATAGACAATTTGTGTACAGAAGGAGAAAGAATATAGTTAAAATAGTTTCCATTTAAACATCCAGTTTAACACCTATCCCCTCATGGCTAAATGATCAAACAGGGTTGGCCCAAAGCAGAGCCACTAAGATCTGAAAATTTGCCTTACATCTAAAGCACCTTCTGGCAGGGAACCATTAAAAGGAGGACAGAAGGGACCAGGAGAGTCTGGAAGGAAAAGCACAAAACCAAAATGCAAGTCAAGATAAAGGCTGCGTTGTCAGCTCTCCCTCTCCCCAACCATGGGTTTCTCACCCACATCTCTTTCAGATGTTTCTTTGATGGTCCCAAGTCCCTGGCACAAGTCCAAGGCCAGGAAACAAGCACCGCTTCACATGTGTCTTCTTTCCACCTCTCTGCTTCTTCTCCTGCCTCCAGCCCTTTTCCCAATCACTTCTAGCTTACCTCCTTGTCCAGATCCACTCTTCTGTAGGGTAGGGCAGAGAACCTGGAACCTTCCCTTTCCCTTGGGATTACATTATTACAACACCTCAAATGAAAAACTTGTACAGACCCCCAGCTCTAGCACCTTGGAGAGTCACTCTCTTGCATATCCAGAGAGTTTCCCCCTCCACCTCCCACCCCCAGAACTTTCTTTCCTTGGTCTTTGCTCTTTTACTAATCAATATATGCTGACTCCTTGCCTGGGATCACCAGTGTCTGTAAATCCCACTTTTCAGTCTTGACCACAGGGTCTCAAAAGGCCCCTGCACTTGGGGGCAGGTCCCCTAAGTCCATCCCTCTGATTTACAGTGGGTGGAGCAGTAGAGTGATGGCTTGCCAGACTGTGTTGTGGAGAAATCACAACTAGGGGCCCTAGGCTTACTCCCTTGTTTGATGACATTAATAATTTTTCTGATTATAAAAATAACACTCAAAGTAAAAAATGTAGAAAATGCATAAAAACAAAGAAAAAAACCATAAACCTACAACCTAGAAAAAACATTATTAATAGGTTGGGGGGTTTTGGTCTTTTTCTGCCCTGTGTACATACATTTAAAAGTACAGTTTGGGTCCAATAAGATTACTTTTTGGTAAGAGTTTTCTCAAGATAATTCATGTTTTACAATTCACCCATTTAAGGTGGTATACAAATCAGTAGTTTTTATTATATTCAGAGTTGTGTAATCATCATCACAACCAACTTTAGAACAGTTTTATGATCTCACAAAGAAATCCCTATCTTCCAGTTGTCAACCTTCCCATCCCTTATGCTGTGGACAACCTCTAATGTACTTTTCGTCTCTGTAGATTTGCTTAGTTTGGGTATTTGATACACATGGAATGATTCAGTATGGTGGACTTTGACTGACTTCTTTCACTTACATACATAATGTTTTCAAGGTTTATCCATGTTTTGTCACCTACCATCCCTTCCTTTTTCTTTTAACAACTTAATTGAGTTGTAGTTCACATACCTCAAAATTCACCTATTTAAAGCATACAATACAATTATTTTTAGTATCTTTACAGAGTTGTGCAACTATTACCATAATCAAATTAGAAGATTCATCACCCCAAATTTCACTGCTTTTTTATAGCCAAACAATATTTCATTATATGGTTATACCATATTTTATTTATCTACAGGTCTGTTGGTAGACAATTTCACCTTCTTGATACTATGAAAACTACTGCTGTGAACATTTGTGAATAAGTCTTTGTATGGACTAAATATTTTTATTTCCACAGGAGTGGAATTGCTGGGTCATAGGGTAACCCTATGTTTTAGCTTGTGAAGATTGCCAGACAAACCATGTGATATTTTTATCCTGATTTTCTCACTTAACATTAATCATGTGCATTGTCACAAGTTGTTAAATGTTATTTGAACATTTAGTAACATTAATAAAAACATGCTTGGATTTTACTATTTGCCGAGTTCCACATCTTAGTTAACCAACCCCTTATTATTGGACATTTGACCATTTCCAATTTCCATGCTTATTAACAGCATGTCAATGAACATCTTTGGGCACTAATCTTTTTATGCTTCCCCTTCCCTGGTTATTTCTTGTATGAGATTAATCAGACCATTGGAACAGAGGTCACAGGCAGTCTAGAATGCATAATAATAAATTGGCTTCCCAAAAAGTTATGTCAGCTTCCATTCTGTATGTTCAGCTGGGAATATCAGCTGCATATCTCCTTCTATTTCAATTGCCTTCCAAGGTAGATCAACAGGAAAAGAAGTTGTTTGGGCACCTTTGATGCACTGCCCAGCACAATTTTCAGCACACAATATGAGTCTGTGATGAGTGAGAGCAAAGGAAGGTCCCAGTTAGTGCAATGGTCACAGGGTGTCAAGTCACAGTGAAGGTTGTTTCCACAGGACTTACATGGGTAACTGGAAACTCAATTCAGACTCAAGTGGCAATAAGGCATCTCAACAGCCAGAATCCTCAACATGAAAGGTGAAGTGACTGATGGGAGGTGAGGAAGGCTCCATAGTCATTTAGGGTCAGACCCTGGCAACAACTTTTTTTTGTATTCCACTCTATGAGCAGCAGTCTTTATGCAAAGTGCTGGGAGAATTACCTTCATGGAACTAGCAAGGTCATCAAACTCTCTGTTCACTTGGATATTCTGAGGAGAAACCCAGTAACACGCAGTGCATTATCACTTTCTGAGAACTTAAAACATTTTACTTATAACACACAAAAGCTCAAAGACCATAGGGGGACTGTTTCATTCCAAATTCTGTGTTGTTTTCATTACACTAAAAGTTTCTGATAATAACATTACATTGTATTTATTGAATATGTATTTTGGTAGGACTATTTCATATGTGTTAAGTAAATGGAAGGGATCAGTTTTTTTCCATTTTTCCGCCATTAGCATCAATGATCGACACCTGTGGTCCTACACGCATGCCCGATGGCAGCACCTGGCGTGCGCTGTGGGCCTGTGTGAGTGGGCACACCTGAGCCAGAGACTGAGCATATAAGGGCAGCATCACAGAGGATGGGGTGCAGCAGCTGGGGGTGTGTGGGGAGCCTTTGCAGAGGGCCATGCAGGGGAGTGCAGTAGAGATCAGCGAGAAGATGGCAGAGAGAGTGGAGGTTCACAAGGCTGGGAGTTCCACCAGCCTACCGGCCCCCTGCCTACCCCCTCCCTGCCTGCCTGCACCTGGCTGCCTCACTACAAGTGGTGCAGAAAAATCATTAAAAGCCTGAAAAAGCCACTGAGGGCTCCATGATTCTCCTCTACCCATCTGCCCGGATCATAGAAAACCTGCTCTGTGCCTTTCTAGCGCTAAAATATGCCATTCCATTTTTTTGTTTTTTAAGAATGTTTGAATTCAGTGCTGGCAGGAATTCTTAAAGCAGAAGGAACCTGGTCAAGGGACAAGTCTCTGGCTTTGGAGTTGTAGAGACTAAGCAGATGGAAGGAAACAATAAGGACGTTAGACATCAATTGTTCTAGACCTGAGGGATCAGAACTATAAAAACACATCTCTGGAAAGACTTCTACTCAAATTTGGGTTGAAATAAACCAGGATTAGAATAAGCAGGAATAAGCAGTAATTTGGGGACTGTGGTGATGGTGCACAGGTGAATTGGTGGTGGGAATTCTATGGGGATTACACCTGAGAAAAGAAAGCAAACCATTTAAAAAATGAACAATGATGTAAACTATATACGAATAAATAAATTGTTTAAAATAAAAATTAAAGCAAACAACAATGGTTACCAAAAAAAGAATAAACTGTGATTTGTGACTTTCTTTTAATAGTTTGCATTTGAGGATTCTCTCTTTCAAGTTTAACTGGGGAAAATGGCAGGTTTTTTTTTCCTCCTATATTAAGAAGGTGAAACTTAATGAAAAAGGAGCCTAATCCACTTCAGCCACACAAGTGAATTTTCCAGTTTCCTGATCCGCCAACAGGCAGTCAAGCCAGGTAGAGAGGCGGATCACCTTACAAATAGTGCACCTGCAAATCTAAACATCAGCAAGCAATGAGCATCATGCTGCTGAGCCTCTCTCAGTTAACAGAGAAACTGGGAGTAGCCTGAGGAGTACATGGCAGTACGGTCATCCGTGGTGTATAGCGGAGCCAGAGTGGTATAATGACCTACTTTCAGACCTGGGGCTAGAACTTGGACTCGACCATCTGGGCAGGGACCTCCATCTCTCTAAGAAATACGAACATCTCACAGGACTATTTAATAAGAAGTGTAGTTTGTGAGAAGTTCTTACAGAGAAATCCAGCAGTTCTATGGCAGACACCGGGTTATCTTGGACAGACTTGAGAACAGCAAAGCAGCCTTCACTTTGCATAGGATTTCTCGACACCTAAGAAACACAAACACACACAACTCTAAGAGAAGCTGAGCCTCGGAAGTAAGACAGTAATGCAAAAGAGAAGGAGGGGTATCTGATGACATGGCTTAGATTGGCCCCACTGTCTCAGCTCAGAAGGTGTCTCCTTCAAACAAAAGGAGGAGAAGGAAGAGGAAGGGAGTGAATGCTGGTTGAGGACCACCCAGTGCCTGACTATGAGCTGGTGCCAACGATATAGACAAGACACACCCCAACCTTTAAAACACTTACCTGTTGGAGGGAAAGGAGGGTAAGGGAATGCAGTGTGATCAGTGCAATGAGATAGTGCACCCAAACACCACCTGGGAGGTAAAGGTAGAGGGGGGCAGGATAAAACACCTGAGTGGAAGTTTACGGTTGAGGTGGGAAAGAGCAGCAGGAGCAAAGCAGAGGAGAGATAAAGCGCTGTGCATGAAGGATTCTGAGCAGCTTGGAGAGAAAGATATGAGCTGCCAGTAGGAGGGAAGGACAGTGGTAGGCGGAGCTTCGGCCCTGAGTGTGAAAGATGCACTATTATGCTTGAATTTATCCAAAGGGAACCACACCGAAAGGCTTAAAGCAGGGAGGCACAGGGTCAAATTTCTATTTTAGAAAAATCACCTGGGGGCAGGTAGGCAGTTTTGGAAACTGACCAGCAACAGAATTCAGGGAGGGAAAGTGAAAAGCAGGAGGAGAAGGCTGCCTAAGCATTCTGTAGATGAGAGATGAAGAAGGGTAAATATGAGAAAGTGGGACAAGCACTAGGTTCCAGTTTGTGATGACAAGGGGAAGGAGTGGTCACAAGAGGAAGCCAGGAGATGTCCTTCCTGAAACCCCCATCTAGATTCTGGAATATGCATCTCCCACTGCTATTTTGCTGGGGTACAAACTCACCCCCACCCCCATTAAGCTAGTACTCACAACAAGGATCCTCAGTGTCTGGTTGACCCGAAGGCCAAGGCCCAGGCTCAGGGCGCCTGCTGCAGAGATGCGGTTGTTACTGCAACAAAAAGACAGGTGTGTTGTGCTACCTTGCAAACAGCTGTGCAGAGCCAGGCCACTCCAAGGTCACAGTGGGAACTGCGGGCTCAGGCAGCTGGTCAGGTTTCACTTTTCATCTCCACAGATACCCTGGGAACCCTGGAGAGGTTAGGTCTAAATGGTGGATAAGGATCATGTTTTATTGGTGGCTCTCAGTGTTGTGGGAGATCACCCAGCCAAAATCTATCTCCAAGGCACCCTTCACCCTGGTAGAGACCAGTCGCCCTCAGAACTAAGCAGTTGCCATGTGTATGCCCCATCTAGTACTTGCATCTATGACCACAACAGCGTCTGTTCTGGAAAACTACAAAACTCCTCCCCACATCTGCGCCTCTTCATCCCACTCTGCCCCCTGGATCTAAACTTTGGGCCTCAGCCCTGCTCTGGCCACTTGTCTCCTGAGCTAATCCCACATCTCTGATTTCTCAGACCTCAACACTGGACTCGCATTTCAGCACCCCTCATGGCCTCTTCTGGCCTTTGCCCTCCCATGGGAGGGAAGGTGGGCAGGATTGCAGCAGGCAGGCCCTGCTCACTCTAGTAGCCCCCATGGAGGGGCTTGGCCACAGGAGACCATGGCCTGACTGATGTCTCCATTTTTTTCCTCTCTCGGCTTACAGACCCTGCTCTGGTTACCTACTGAGGCTGATACCATGCCAGAGGCTAGAAGAGCAGCTTGGCATTCCTGCAACAGTCATGTGCTAAGCAGAGCATGGGGAAAGGCCCACTTGTCAAGGCCCTGCCCAGCCCCACCACATTCAGCTTCTGAAAGGGAAGAGCATAACACAGAGCACCCACATACACCCACAGGCTCTGCTGAAGTTGCCTCACTTCACACCAGCTACCTGTGTGGTAGAAAACATGAGCCCCAACATACAAATGATGAGCTCAAGTAAGGACAGATCCGGGTGCTCCTTGTGGCCCAAGCTGCTGATTGTGGTAGGTTAGAGAATTTAAACGGTGAGAGAGAAGAAAGATTACCATGGAGACCATGGTCTGCAGGCTCTGGAGACTGACACAAGCAGCACCCTATTCTCACCTCATGTTGAGTTCCTCCAGCACATTGTTGGCCTTGAGCGCATCACCTACTGCAGAGGCACCAGAATCTCCAAGACCATTGTAAGAGATGTCCAGGACTTTCAGGAAGATGTTTGCCTGGAGCACAAAATAGAAACACCATGGGATCACATGAAATGGTGGAGAAAGCCAGGAGCCACAGTCTCAGGGCCCAAGAGACTGAGGTGTAAAGAACATCGGCCACGTGTGGAAGGGCAGAGGTTCCAGGGAAATTATGTGACTTGGCTGGTGGTGACCAGTGTAGTCCAAGGCCAGAAACATAGTGCAGAAGGTGGATGTGGATGTGAATAAGCCTCAGAGAGTGGGGATTGGCCACGTGGCAGCAGCTGCCAGAGACATAGTGCCCAGGCCTACTTGGGCACCCCTCAGGGGTAGGTGCCCCAGCACAGAGCAGCACAGGAGCTCAGAGGAGGCTCCAGAGAAGGCTGTTGGCTAAAACCTATCCAGGGGACTGTGATAGAAGGAAGGAGGAGTGCTTGTGGGTATACTTGATGACAGCTGACATGCCATCTTGTGGGGAGGCCCATAGGTCAGCCCCTGTCAGAGGGCAAGGCAGCAACATCCATTCCCTGAGAAGGACTTCACAAGATTGGCACCAGAGGCACTGAAGATACCTTGTGCCATCCTGGCATGTTCTTAAACAGCCTATATACATGCCCAGGAATGCCAATGTATCTTCTCACTGCCCGATGCTCCCCACCAGCTGAATGTCTGGAGCAGGTACTCAACATCAGCTTGACCCTTCATAAGTGCCCTGA